ATAAGAGAGGGAGGAAAAATACTCAAGACCAGGGTAGAAAAAGCAACTTTGATCTCAATCTCATTAAGTTACTTTTAGCCTGGGCGGCTTGCCACCATCATGTGAATCTTAGTGATGATCTTTCAAGCAAGCAGTGTTGGCTGATTGTCAACAAGACGTTAACGTTTTCTTGAAAGATGGGTGGGGAAGAACAATAAGCCTTTGCTTGCTTCAGCCTGCCAGTGAAGCGATCGTAGATGTGGAGGGCAAGACTGGCTACCAGGCATGGTGGATATTATTTCCACTATCCACTATTGAGTGGGCAGGGAATTGAGTAGAATTGGCAAAATGTCTGTTTTTGGACAACAGTTCCCAGAATCTTTTAGCCGGTGTGGCCATTTCTTTCCACAAAAAGAAAAACATCTTTGTTAAATTAATACATCTCTACACACACACCCCACCAAAGATGGAAGTATTGGTCACTCTTCAGCCAAGCCATGCTGAGTATCAGAGACCAAAGGTTGGAAGTTCAGTTTCCCACTGGTCCTCCTTGACAGGGGCTGAACTTGATGACCCAAGGGTCCCTTTCAGCTCTGCAGTTCTAAGAAGATATTAGGGATTGTCATCTCTTTGCCGGGTTTTCTCTACCACAGAAGTCGACATTCTGGCTGTGGGATTCTGGCGGCGGTAACTCTCAAAAGTCACTTTTCTCAAGCTCTGGGTGTAAGCAGGAGGGCGCTGTTGCACTCACGTCCTGTCAGTAGATTTCTCATAGGCATTTGCCTGGCCATGGGGGGTAAGGGTGTGTAAAGTATATTAGACCACTATTATTCCTCTTGTCATTGCCATGACTCTGTGGCCAGCCCTGTGGGACCGCTTTGTGATTGTAGCCAGTCACGGCAGCTCAGGATTGTGTAGGGTTAGTCTAGAAGGGTTGCTGATCTTCCTTTGGGATGAGACAGTATAATTATTTCCCAAAGTGGGGGGGGGGACCCTTTCCTTTAAAGCAACAAATTATGGTTTGTTGCCATGTGCTGCAAAGTTGCTTTCCTTACATCATCCGAATAGAACTTTCAGTGTACGTGACATGTTAATGAAGTGGCTTATCCCTGGCACTCCACACAGCAGGTTTACATGACTGAGTGAGGACTGGAACCCAGATCTTTTAAGTCCTAGTCCAACACTCTGTCCACTACACCACAGTGGTTTTCAGTAATTAAATCCATACTGTCTCAAAATAAGGAAATGCAGACCACAGATCTACCTCCTCCTCACTCAATGACTTAAATATATAAGACCGTTATTTCATTTCTTGCTTGTTGCTTGTTTAGTCTTTTAGTTGTGTCCAACTCTTTGTGACCCCATGGACCAGAGCACGCCAGGTCCTCCTGTCTTCCACTGCCTCCCAGAGTTTGGTCAAATTCATGTTGGTCGCTTCGATGACACTCTCCAACCATCTCGTCCTCTGCCGTCCCCTTCTTCTCTTGCCTTCACACTTTCCTAACATCAGGGTCTTTTCCAGGGAGTCTTCTCTTCATCTTCTTGACTAATTCGAATGTTTTCTGATCCCAAAAGTGTAACATGATTTCATTTCTTATCATAATCATATTACACTTTTGGGATCAGAAAGCATTTGAATTAGTCAAGAAGATGTTGAAAAATAGTTTAGGGTGAAAGATGACAAGTCCAAGATTCAACTACTCCATTTCATGTCTGAGCTGGTACTTGACCCTATATCCTTGCTTAGATCCAACATTTTCAGCATTTCATACTTACAAGGCAGATTAGATTGGAAAGGTAAGCTTCATGTCTGTCTAGGGATTTGGACAGTTTTTTTTCATGTTAAACCTATCTCACAAGTCACTGCAGCATACTCGCTTTCTGTTTTTACCCCTTGGCCCCCCAAATGGCATAGAGACTGTCATCTGCAGGATTGCGTTGTTCCATGTATTCATATGCTCACTGTGAGCTTGACTATCTCTTCTGTCTTCGCATTTGGATTTGCATTTCAACGTGTCTCTCACAACAAGCAAGAACATTTCCTTACCAAATCCAGTTACAGTATTCTTTTACTAGAGCCCAGCCCTGTTAATTTATCTCCTGACAATAGAGTCTGACAGGAAACTTATGTGAAAGGCCTGAGGCAATGTACCTACCTGACACTTGGCTGAGCACCACCCACCATTCCATGCAAGAAAACTCTAAAAAGCAATATTTCACAGATTGATGGATAATACAGAGACATTTTTAATCTTCTTTTTGATTTCCCCCCCTGCTAGTATAAAATCACCCATTCTTAATTCCTTCAGTGTTCCTCACTCCAAAGCCAAGCCCTGCTGAGTACAGGAGATAGTTGAAGAATGCCATTTATGCTTTGGAGAGAAAGAAAACATTCCTAAACTGTTCACCATGAAGTCTGAACCCAACTATCTAGCTTGTCCCTCCCCTGATGAGTCAAAGGCACAATCCAGCTTTCCCCCTGATTTATCACTTCTTCTCCAGTGCTGGGCTGAGATGTCATAGAAAACAAACCATGGAAGAGAGGTGGATGATTTGTTTAACTGTTCCTGGTTAAAGTGGGAGGATGCACCGGGACTTTCGCCATCAGCCAGAATTCTGAAGGGTAAATGGCTTCCAAGGACAGTCAGCATCTCACTTTTCACATCCCAAAGAAACGAACGGCTAAACTCCAGGCTGAAGCTTGAACCCAGTGTAACATTTTGAAACATAAAAGCACCAACTTGAAAGGGAATAAAAAGCGTTCCATGCTGTGTGTTGTTAAATCATCCATCTATGTTGTCATTGTTGTTTAATCTTGTACTATGCAAGCCAACTCTCTCTCTCTTGTGTGGACAAAACAATGTACAGCAAAAAATTCTTGGTTCTTGCCTCTCATTTTTCTTTAAAGAAAAAAAAGGGGGGATATCTTTGCTGGGGAAAGTGGACATACCTCCCCCAAAGCTTGTAAAATAGATCTCCTTAGCAGATTTAAGTTCCAAGGCCAGAATCCCAAATGGTTTACGCTATTAAATCAATGAGATTTACATAAATGTCAATGTAATAATTGATTCAGTGGGTCTACTGTACTTGGGACTAGCAATAGGATGATGGCCCAAACCTACATATGCAGCAACAATTGGCTTCAGTGACTTCTGTTTAGCTGGAACAATGGTAAGCATCTGGTCTTTGACCCTGATAAGTCATAATAGCTATTTTGCATTTTTGGTGCAGTGATGAAGGATTGGTCTTGGTATGTCTGTACTGTACTTCAAACTTTTGTCTTTCCCCAGATGTTTGTTTTGCTTCTTGAGGCATACATTCTGACCATCCATGGACAGACACTAATTGGATCGACCGGTGACTCCGATTTTAAAAGGGGTAATAGTCCAGTATCCTTCTCATCACAGAGCAAGAGTTAACATGTAGGGCATACAAGGCAGGGCTGGTGGCAGGGCTAATGGCATAGCCCTTTGCGATAATCCCAGGATCAGATATGGAAAAACTGAGGTTGCTTCCCTATTTAATTAGGAAAATATTAAAATGGGCTCATAGATTTTGGAAAAAAACTTTTCATACCAATCACACCTTGCAGTAGAATCTATTTGTCTCCACTGTACATTTAATTTTAGCTATGGCCAAAACTGACCCATCATTATCACTTTGCAAACTCATGTGTATGCCGCCACTGGGAAACACCAGGATGTTTAAAGCACAGTCCTGTACGTATCTATTTAGGAAGTAAGCTCATAACATCAGGTCTTACTCCCAAATAACTGGGTAAAGAAGTAAATCCCTGCTTGTGGTTCCCAGATTCTGACATCATTTGGCGTCTTATTTATTTACTCTATGTGTTTATTTAGGGATGCTTATTTAGGGATGCTGGGTGGTTGGGTTATTGTTTTACTGTTTTGTTGTAAACCAGCTAGCGTAGTGCTTTGCACTAAGTCAGAAGTATATACGTAAATTAACAAAATAAATAACATAAACTACATTCTTTGGAGCTCAGAAGAGAGAACATAAACGCCAGTTTCTTTTCAGCCATGATTAGTCTCAGTTAAACAATCATGTGTGTACCTCAAATTCCACTGCTTTCAGGGCAGTGGGGGGGCAGGATTTTGGCTGCAGCCTTGTACAAATGAACGGGGAAGAAAAGCCTGGCGGTTTTGGGCACCTAAAGATAGCACTGAGGTATTTCCAGCTCCAATCCAGGTAACAGCACAAATCGTATACATGTGTTTGTGAATGAAGCTCCAATGTGTTCAACAAGGTTTGCTCCAGAATAAGCGGTTTTAGGATAGCTCTCCGAATTTTGTATTAAAAAGGAAACAGAGGGATCGCTCTTGGTTGCTTTTTAGAAGTGTGACCACCAAAACTGGACACACCCCTAGAGGTTGAGAAATGTTATATTGTTTCATTGATACAAAGGGAAGTCTAACAGGTGCCCATGTTTCATTATAAAGATTGCACCACCTGGCTATGGTATGTAGTACGTACAGTATATATGTTCTTGGGCATGCCTATATTTTTACACAAATCAAAGAACGTATCACCTGTGTTTGCAACTCTGCATGGTGGCTTAAAAGGAAGTACCAGTGAACCACAGATGGGATTAAAGCTCTGAACCATTTTGTTAACGATGTGTGACTTTTCCCCATTCAAACTGAAATTTTGAGCAAAAGCTGTGGCAAAACAGTGGTAAGATTACAATACTGTGACCTGCAAATACAACTTCATGGGGCGGATCTGGCCAACAGTTATCTGTGTTTTCCCATAATAGGTAACACATGTTTTACAACCATGCAAATTTCCTTAGACTATACAGGTTGCTTCCAAAAATTAAAAAATAAAAAAATTATTGAGCAGTACCATGGGTTTTATTCTCAGACAAACAGATTACAACCTCTGTCATCCAGCCCACATCCTCTTCCTTCCAGCCTCTTTTGCTTCTCTTCAACTGAGGGCAAAAACCTTTAACCCCAATCTTTAAAATGAAGCCTCCACAAAACAAACAAGAAACTGTATCTCCTTGTAACATTTTATTATTTGATAAAAACCAAAGCCACGGTGACATTTCAGAAAATGGTACGGAAAATAAATCCATTATGATGGTAAAGTGCATTTTTCAGTTGTGTACAAATATTTAAAAACATGCAAGGCACTCCAAAGCAGAGAACGCAAGAGAACATCATTCCTCAGTCACATTCATACTGACAGAAGAGACCCCAACAGTCCAAGCAGTTAGCTTTAAAAATTGTTGAGAAGGCCACGTAGATATGAAAGTGCATTTGGGATAACCGCTGTGGGTTTGCTTTTCACAGTATAATCTCCAACCTTTTCCTCACAAGCAGCTTCTCTCTTACACCCCCCTTCAACAATGACTATAATTGTCCCCCCCAGCTCAATTTAAGATAATTTCATTATAACCAATTATCTTGAAGTCACCTGAAGCAGCAATTAGGGCTTGCCATTAGGCCTTCAGGAAGACAGATTTATGGAAAGAGTTTGGATCCTGACATTTGAATTGAACTGATTTATGTATCTATTTTGCTAGGTGGCACCCATATTATTTCAGTCCACATTCCAGTTCTTGTACATGGCATGTAGAGTGTGTAGAGGAGTATTTTATGTGTAGGATCTGAATTTATGAGCAGTTTCCCACTTGAAGTTCTTGGTGCAGTCAGGATAGGAGGGATTATGTCTTAGACTTACATCCAACCTTACATAAAACCTATATAGAGGTGTATAGTATGTGATTCAGGCCTAGATAAAGTAGCCTGAAGTCAAACGTATATTATTGGCTAATTGTAACTCAATTTCCCATCAAACAATTTTAAAAACATTTTGTTCCACCTCTGGGATATTTATTTTGAATAGCCCAAGATACTTTATTTGTGGGAGTGAGGTGTGTGCATAGACGCTTTTTACTCAAGAGTAAAGTGCAACAATTTTTTTCACAAATGTGAGAATTTGTCACATGTCTGGTAAGTAACATCTCCTCATGTGTATTTCTAATTGTCTAGAGCCCAGATGTTCTGAGGGGAGCACTTTGGCATAGACACCCCACTATAGCTTTTAGCACGTGAAGGTCAACAGTCTGAAGAGGTGAGGGTTGCCTCTTCACATGAACCAGATTTTTTTGAATCATGGTTCACACAGAGAGACTACACTGATAAAGTAACCATCAGAAAACAATTATGGGGGGATGGGGCTATCACACTCCCCTCAAAACATGTGGGCTCCAAACACTTAAGGTTAGTGAATAGGGCTGTACTACCCCAAATACACAGAAATATAAAAATGTTCAATATTGCCAGTTGCTGTCTCCCCAATGACAATTCTGAACTTTTATTTTAAAAGTATTTTTCTGCTCTTTGAGTGAAATCCTTTAGGACTGTAATTGGATGCAATCCCTCTTGTGTTCTATGGGACTTAGACCCTAGAAAATTGGTGTGTGTGTGTGTGTGTGTGTCTGTGTCTGTGTGTCACAGAGACCGTAGCCTTAATTCCAACAAGATTCCATTAGTCCTTGACAAATTCCAACATTATTCTTACGTGGAATAGATCAAATGAAATGAACAGGACCTGTGTTAATTCTAACAGCTCCAAGTAACTTCAATCGGCTACTCTAGGTAGGACTATAATTGGCTTTATTTCCCCATTCATATTTCTCTATTTAACAACTCTAAAAGGTGAGCCACATAACATCAAGAAATTAGCTCATGAATATTGTTTAATTCAGTTAGGAATGAAAGTTTCTTCCCTTACTCCATCAGGATCCGCACAAACCACTACATTCAGCCAGTTCACTTTCCCATAGAAGAAAGACTAAATCAACTTGACACCCCACTGCTTTCTCCCTGGAACTGTGTTCAGAAAATCCAATTAGTATGGAAGAGGGAGGGAAAAATAATAGTAATTCAAGTAGTCTGACTTTGCCTAGGGGCTTCCAGCTGCTGATCTGTACTCTGATAGGATACTTCTTTAAATTCCCAATATGCCAGTCTTTTGACAGTTTAGTTGCTGTATGAAATACAGTTCCGCATACGCAGACTAAATACACAAGTGAAATGGCATGGCCCACTACTTGATGGAGATAGTGCTGCAATGTCAGCACTTCCCTAAGAAACAACTAGGGGCACTCCGAGCGCCTTTCTCAGATTTAAGTACAAGCCGCCATTCTAAGGACCTTGCTTTTCATTAACTCACAATAAACACTCTTTGTGGAAGGAAGTTTTCTCACCGTGGCTTATCTAGAATGCACTGCCTTATGTGGAGTCTTGGGTTGTGCCTTCTGAATCAAGGTTTTCATCTGATGTAATCAGAAATAAGAGGAACAAATTGCAAAAGCCTTAGAAAAAACTCCTTTTTGTGAGGGACTACAATTCTCAGAACCTCCTTGCCAGCACATGCTGGTAGATCCTGGTAGCTGCAATCCAAAAAGTAACTTTTCTGAGGTTTGTTCCCGGGTCACAATTTCTATTTTGTAAATGATCCGAAAAAGACGCCTCACGCAGCAAAGGCCATGTTCACAGACAGCAGCGTTTGCCTCACGCTGGAGTGGCAGCTGTCCCACACATTAATTTGCTTCACATACTTTGGGGAGTCGAGGAAGTCATGGACGAAAGCAGCCAGAGAAATGGCATTCATGGCACCATGCTGGCGTGGCAGTGCAAGTCAGAAAGTCTGAATGGCTTTCTTTAGTGTTAAACAAACGGCTCCCATTAGAAAGGTGGGTTCCCAATGAACCATGAAACGCTAATGGACAACGGAAGAAAACCTTATTCAGAAAGGGAAAGAATGACATTGATGGAACTCTAGCTACCTTTGGTAAGGGAGGGAATTGTTTGGCTTTTCAAGCAGGGTTTGGACAAGTAAAATTGTAGACTACAAGTCCCAGCATCCTCTAGCTTTGATCGGTCCCTCCTACTCTGACTGGCAGCAGCTCTCCAGGTTTCAGGCAGAGGCCTTTCCTGGTCCTCTTTGGAGCGTTGCTAGGGATCAAACGTGGGACCTGGCAACTCGTAACAGGCAAATCACAACTGAGATAGGCCCCCTGCAACTGCTTCATGGGAGCAATAAAGTGGGAACCATGGAACTGGACCTAATGGGTATTGGTTATATGACTCAATAAGCTTTATTCAATTTGTCAGTAACATCCACTTTATAGCTATTGTATAAAATCACTGAAACTCCCGCCCCAACAAAATAAGTTTTAAAAAGTTCTCCCACCATACAAACTATGCCCACCAGGCAGAAAAGGAAATTATATTTGTCTAGTATGGGGTCGTGAAGAATAGAGCATTTAAAAAAAAGGGAAAAGAAAGAAGAAGAAAAAAAATCACACCCCTGCCTCCCAACCCAACGTTGCGATCAGGACACATTCGTAGTCTCAACAGCCCCTCACCTCTGCTCACCCATGCTTGCTTTGAAACTCCAAGGTTACATATAAAAAAAGAACTCTTTTGCCTCAGCAACTGCAAAAAAATTTACACATATTATAATCTGAGGGGAAAGAACGAGAGGCACAACAGTGAGTAAGCACCCTGGTATCTTCCCACAAATGAAGGCATTTCCTAAAATGGAAGGGAAGAGAGTCAGAATTACTGTCGCTCCCATTTGCATGTCTTGGTCTCTCACAGATCAGACAATGAGATTCTGGACCTAAAGCCCCCGGGGCGCAGGCGGCCAAGCCAATCCATGATGGTTCCTTGTCCAGAGTAACAGCTTTTTAGAGATGTGTCGCAAAGTTTGACTACAACAGGCTCAGACAGAGAAAGGCTTCCCCCTGCAAGAGCTCACAATACTGCAATGTACCTGTGACACCATATAAATAAAACTGAAGTGAAGTGGATGTTGTAAGGTGATTAGAACATCTCTTCTTTTAGATGTTTAAATTCATAAGCAGGAGAGAGGGAGAAACCATCCCTTTTTGAACGTACTGCAATCAGGAGTTTCAGATGTCTTTTTGTGTTGTTTTCTGTAACTATAAACACAGACCTCCTTTGGCAATGATGACAGGGCAGCAAACTCCAACCCCTCCCCCTTTTTAAAAAAAGAACTAAACATCCAAGTCTTTGCTTTAGTAATAAGGTCCGTGTTTTTCATACCCTGAATAGCTAGGCCATTCAGGAAACAGGCCGTAGGAACACCGTGGACTCCCAAACTGGTCAAAGGCAATCCCAAAATCAGATTCTCCGTGAGGCTGAGGAAGCCCCTGAGCAGATTTGAGTTCAGACCGTACAATCCTGTAATTCAGGCCTTTATTGCTGTCCCAGTATGCCTTGCCATCACATTCGTAACACACTGCAAACTCTAGTCTTTCATGGGGCTGAATTCTCTCCGGCAAGCTGATGTTAAAAGAGAAGGTGTCCTTATCTGAACCGGCGTAAGTGTCTTTAACATACTGGCACGGGTAATCCGTGAAGGTTTTCCAGGTATCAAATGTCATTCGGATCTTCACAGCCTTCTCAAAAGCCAGATTCCTGACTTTCACTGTGCCCATGATCGCTTTATCTTTCAACGTGCAATTCTCAAGGCAGACATATTCGGCCTGCAGACGATTCCGGAAATCCAAGTAATCGGAAGACGGTTGTACAAAATCCAAGACAAAATCGTCTCTTTCCACAGCCGTTAGGCCCACAATGCTGTCTATGAGTTCTGTGATGTTAAACGGAATGTCCAGGGGGTCGTCAAATTCTGAGAACACTTTCACCATGGTCAGGGCGAAGCCTCGGCTGTCTGCAAAGGAAACCCGCTTTTTCTCCCTGTTCCTCTGCAGCGTTTTTACTTCTGTTCCCAGTTCATTCCGCTCAGAGCTGCTATTCAGATGGATACAAGGGCGTAAAGGCTTCTTGGGTTTTGGAGCTATTTTGCAGGCAAAATTCTCTCTTCGCAAAGGCGGAGTCCGCAGGTACAGCTGCATGGCTACATCCACCGCCATGGTAGGCTTATGCGGAAAAGAGTCCAGTATTCTAAGGGGGGAAAACCAAGAAGGACATTTCACATATGAAGTTGTGATAAACCTGCATTTCCTACACTTAACACCATGCTAGAACCAGGCCCAAGTTTTCTAATAAGGGTATATAAAGGATTTGATCCTTCATCTTAGCAGCAGAAATGAAATTCTTTGCTGCAAAAAGAGAGTAAGCGGCATAATCAAAATATTTAAAGTCGTAACATACAACAGTAGAAAAGCTAGTTCCGACTGGACCTAAGCAGCTTTGCGTTTTGGGACTACAAGTTAATAGAATTTGCGAGGCAGCATTCTCTAGGCAGAGAGTTCTGGGGGGTTATAATCCTAAACCACACCTCTAACTGCAAGCCACTCTGTTTTGATTATTCTCATAACCAACTGGCACTAAAAATGGGAACGGACCAAACTGTGAGCCAGAAAAACTGACAAACTGAGTTTGCCACCTGGTTTGAGGAACCAGAAAAACTGACAAACTGGGCCGGTTTGCCACCTGGTTTGAGGATCCCGTTTTGCCAAAGCAAAACAAAATGCTGAACTTTTTTGTTTGCATTTTGTTTGATTTGGCAAAAGGGGATGCCTGACCCTGTCCTTCGCACTTCTGCCTGGCACCTCCACCTGCTTACTTCTGCCACCTCTGCTGGTGGCAGTGCCATCTTCAGAGGCAGCACGCCCTGCTTCCTTGTCAGTAGCCAGGTGTTGCCTCTGTGCATGTGCCTACATGTCAGCTGGGCAGTGGGCCCATGCTCAGAGACAGCAGCCAGGTCTGGGAAATTGCACTGTTGCTTCTGAGGATGCCCACACTGCTCAGGTGGCAGATGGTCACATGCACAGAGGCAGTGCCTGGCTCCTGGCAGTGAATCCGGGCACCGCCTGTTGGCAAAGGAAGCACAGGTGGTAAGAGCAGGTAGGGCCTCCCCAGGCATAAACCAGGGGAAAAAAACCACAACCCCCCCCCCCAAGGTTTGTGTTTCACCATGAACCATCAGTTTTCCCTTTTGTGCCCATCTCTATTTGGCACATATGAATTCTCAAAAGAGGAACATCCTTTGAATCCATTCAAAAATAATAATTACTATTTAATTCACACAATTTAAAATGATTTCAGCACAGTGGGCACTATATTAGTTCAACACAGCCCACCTACCACGTACAGCAGCACAACAGTTCCATGTGGGGAAATCCCAAGCCAGAATTCGAAGACAAGTTCTCAACTTCAACTTTCTGCCGCATCACAATTATACTATATTTCCTGGTATGACAAAAGAAATGCAATCGCATTTACCCTTCCTACTACACCAAGATGGTGCGACCGCTCTTACAGAGAAACCACCACCCTACCTCTCAACATGTCTCGCTCGAAGGCATTCTCACAAAGCAAAGAGCAGAAGAGTAGACCTCTTACCCTGGACACCAGAGGTTACCGGGTTGAAACCACATTCTAGTCTGCAGCATTCTGAACTGTTGATATCCCAATATCACCAGAGCAACTGCTTGCACCCCAATCCACTGGTACAGTACTACTAAAACAATAAAGGACAGACTGGCTCAGGCAGCTGAATGGAGCACGTCTTGTATGGAGCCTTCCTCTGTCTGACTTCCTGTTGCAGCAAAGTTTGCCACACCCCCCAATACTGGAAACTTTCCTTCGGTAATACAGTAAGGAGCAGGAAGTTGAACGGTGAGCAGTGATAAAAGGGCGGCACTGACTTTGCTGGAAGGGAAGCCACAGTAGACATGCCTCTCTGCAGCTCACACGGATTGAGACATTTCAGGAATTTGCATCTCTTGAAACAGTTCAAGAAAGACATTTCACATCACCACGTCAACTAGGTCATGCTTCACAAGTACTGTGGGGTTTGTTTCCGTTCTGGGTTAAAAGGCTGGCTGGGTGAATTCCAAGAATGAATGACAAACAGATTTGAACCACCCACCAAAAGCTTAAAGAAACCCTGCTTCCTGGGAAATTGGCCCATTCTTGTCTTCCGAGGAGTCCTTTACTGAGTATTAGAAGCCTGACTCAGTGATGTTTGATTCTGCTGTATTGCATGTAGAGATCTTTTACTATTTGCTCAGTATGTACCTGAATAATACATCTTTCAGAGAAATGCCACTATGCAGGATTCTAAACCCTAATCCCAGAGAGAATAATAGAATTTATGTATGTTAGGAGGACACTTCCAGGAGTCAAACTGTCACCACAACAGAGGATGTGGGTGTGGTGTAGAGAGGAAAGAGAAAGCCACTGCTACTTTAAAAGTAGATGCAGGAAGAGTGCACAGTTGATTTTTAAGCCAATTAGCTCTTCTGGGAAATTACTAACTGGCATCACATGCACGTCTTGTTTTAAAGCAGAAGAGCTCTTTTTCATGCTTAAAAAATAATAATAAACTGTCATACTTGGTGGCATACCACCAAATTAAAAGGCACAGCAGCAAATTTTTGCTATCCAAGAGGCAAGCTAGGATGTTGCCCTGGTCAGCAAAGTTCACCATTGTTTAACTGACAGAGGCACAGCAAGCCAATGGGAAAAAAAAGAGAGTTTAAAAGAGTCTTCATCAAGCTTCTGCCCACTAGATGTGTTGGACTACAACATCCAGCCTCCTCAAACTGTGTGGCAAACAGACAGTAGTCTAAAATACCTGGAGGGCATTGGGTGGGGCATGGTTGCTTTTAGAGAATGAAAAATGCTCCAGCTATAAAGCGAAATGGAAACTAACAGGTGCAAGCTCAAGTCAAAACACTCAAGTTAAATGAATGTAAACCTATAGATGAATGACAAGAGTCTGTACATAAATGCTGTTTCAAAAATATGCTTCAAAGCTGGTGAGACCTCTGCAGAATATTCTGGAAACAGCAGACAGACAAACACCTCCTACCTCACACACGTGCTGTTAAGTCAATTCCAACTTATTTTGACCTTTCCCAGGGTTTTTTAGGGGTAAAGTCCTGAGAAAGGATTTACCAGTCCCCTTTAGTGTCAAACTGAGACCATGAAGAATACTTTATTACGATCAACAGATTAGATGTGGAACTGAGACCATGCAGCTCTCACACACGACTGGGGATTGAACTCCGAACCCTAAACTCTGCAGCCAGGTGCTCCAACCCACCGAAATTCTCTCCATGGAGATCTGGCTATATGGTTCCCAAATCAGATCTAGGAGGATGGAGGCCTTTTGATGTTCATCAAAAGCGCTTAGATTCAAACACTTCAAAGACATGTACCACAATAATAAAACACCTAATATGGAATATACATCAACAAAACAAAATGCACAGTATTTAGAAGTCCACCGGACAGATGTTAGGTCAAAATATAGCGAGGAGGGACACATATATAGGTATGCTTTCAACATATGCCTAAAACAGAAAATGGTACATGCAAGCCATGTATGTGAGGGAAGGATAATTCCATGTAATGCAAAATACACACATATTCTGTGTGTACACGAGGGCTGGGAAACCATCCACAGCCACCTTGGGTAGCGGGGAGGAATGATGGTGGAGGGAGGGAAAGACAACATCTTGCTATGGGGTGGTGGTGAAGAGAGGAAAATCCCTAACGAGGGCTGGGAAACCATCCACAGCCACCCACCTTGGGTAGCGGGAAGGAATGATGGTGGAGGGAGGAAGGGAAAGACAACATCTTGCTATGGGGTGTGGTGAAGAGAGGAAAATCCCTCCTTCTGGACTGGCAAATGGGGCTTCTTCCATCAGTGCAAAGACTCAGTTGGATTGTGCTCAAAGATCACTTGGCCAGGGCTACCCATGGAAGAAGCAAGATGCAACAGCAGAGGAGTGGTGAATGTGTTTCAAGAGGCGCTTCCTGGCGATGTGGGGGCAACCATGCAGTCTATATTCCATCTCTCAGAACATATATCCCCTTATGGAAGTTCCATGACAAGATCATCAGAATTTCCAACAACTAGTTGGCTAACTAGTAAGCAAAGGATTCCTCGGAGAGAAATCTGAAACCCAGGGCACTGAGAAATTCCTTTCAAACATCATGCAACTCTGACCGTTTCCCAAAACAATCTGAAGAGAAAAAAACCTTAAAATGAGAGGCCCTGCTTACCAGAGTCGGACATGTTTTAGAGCACCTATTACAAAGTCTCCACACCTTGTTTGAATGACCCCACGACTGCCAGACTGGCACAAACACATCAATGCATTGACCCAGGACCAGCTGGTCTATTAGAGCAAAGGGGGCACTGCTCCACATTAATCCCCCCATGCTGTGCTTAGGCAGTCTATCCCAGTGGTCTCCGTACCAGAAGCAGAGGGTTTCAGCCCTCCCTGCATGACGAGGCCAAACTCCTCACGGTCCGTGTGAGCGCTGGAGGGTGGGGATTTAGAAAGGAAGCCTCGGCTCTGTGCCCCCATCAACTTCCCGTGGGCACAGGCCACCACTGTGATGATCCCACGCCCTCCTCACAACCATCAAGGAGTCACACTATACAATACAGTCATCACACTGGTTTTTTGTTTGCAGAGTTACCCCCTCAAGTTGTGAAAGACCCGCTTGTTGTAGCACACAATTCTCCTTACCTCTGCATCCTGCATTTAGCACAGCTTTTGTTTTGTAATCATCTAGAAGTGAAGGGTTTTTTTCCCTTTTCAGGAAGTCTGGGTGCTCAGAAAACATCTGTATTTCCAAAGAAAACTCACTGTGGGAGGGACGATGAGCTAAAAAGAATGTATTCCCCTGACTGGGCTCATCTGACCTTTAGTTTCAACCCAATTTGAAATGACAGCCAAAGCACTTCAGATTTACTTTAGAAAAAAGGCAATTGGTGAAATGATATTCAGATGCAGCTATAAAAATTAAGATGCATTCAGGGGGAGGATTTCTATGACATGCCATCCCCCCCCCCGGCAACCTATGTTTGAGCTTAGGGGTGTATCTGAACATGTTTATGGGTAATTTGATGAGAGGGGCCAGTCTACCCATAAACATGTTTGAACTTGCTTATGGCTTCAAAGGTAGGTTGCAGAGAAAAGATGAAATGTCATAGAAATCCTCCCCCTAATTATCATCTTGTGACATAACAAACACTGAGGCCAACTGCTAAGAAGCTAGTTTGCCAGAATGTGTGGGGAAGAGGCCAATTCTGCAAGCGGAGTGCTGCCTACAGAAAGATGGAATTCCCACAACCTCTCTCTCATTCTAAATACAACCTTCACTTTCCATACTAAATCAGAGTTCGCATGCTACTTTTGTACTTATTTCCTTATATGCCCAATTCTGTGTTCTGCTACGGGGAATGAGGCTTGCATGAAATACTGCTCACAAAGAACTCTCAGTCAAATTGGAAGAGATGCTCTCGTTCAAACTCCAGTTGTTCGCTCTCAAAGATAAAGCTGACCTGAGTTATTTCTGCTGACCAGCTGGAATCATAAAGCTTCCCACAGGATGGGATTAAACAGGGATTGCTGAAGTTTCCATGTTTAAGGCCTTGTGGAGTAACATTAATCTAATTTGCTTCAAACCCAAGGGCACCGATGTTTACAGGCACAAATGATAGATCATCACTTGTATGGCTGCCCTCACTTTCTCTGAGGAAGAGCTGAATATAGATAGCTAAACAGAACCTCCATATCCAGACATAGTATATATCCAAATAACAGATGCTGGGGAAAATAAAACAGGCATTGCAATTTCCTTCATTATCTGATTGTACATGGCTTCAAAGCACCTGGCCGGCTGTTGCTGGACAGAAAACTAGACTAAACAGACACTTGCCATCTCTTAATAAAGCGATTGTTATGATCTTATTCTGGGCTTATTTTTCAAAATGCAGAAAATATCGGCAGTTTTTGTCCTGTTTAAAATGTTGCACAAAGTTAAAATCAGGTCCATTTGCCTCTTTTTCTGTTAGACGGCAACACAACAAATTTCTCTAATCCGCTTGGATCACTCTGTGCAACCTTCTACAAACATTAACTTCCCTTCATCCTATTCCTGTCACCTACTGTAAACCTTTCATCAGCTCCTCATATCCTTATTATGAAAGAGCAATTTCTCAGTTTTTTTTTTGTAACCGCAAGACACCAGTACTCCAAGGTCACAGGGTTAATCAAAACTTCCTCAATCATGCTGTTTCTGTCTGTTAGATCACCATTTACATCATCCATGGTCAGCATGTAGGCGACATGGATGATGGGAATTGTGACTCAACATATATACAGTAGAAGACATTAGAATGCCTCAGTCTTTCTGGGGGCCCAATCATTAGATGGGCATTTGTCCTTTAAGGACGAGAGATCTTCAGCAGGGGTAATATCAGGAAGTGCTGCCTGGTGTGAATTAACGGGCAACAAGAGAATTCTAACGCTTATGACATCTCTATCCCCCAATGATCAATTACAATTATATGCCAAAATCAGAAAGCTGAATCTGGGGCTCACCTGGCAGTCCCCAAAGCGTGATGGAACAGCTAACATGGAGAAATCTGGACTGCATTGAGAAAAATGCCCTAACCATGATGATGATGATATGCTATTTTATTTTATGACAAGCAGCAGCTTTAAAACCAACAAGACATTTTCTGAAATGGATGAGTGCAAAGATTAATTTAACAGCAAATCCCAACAATGCAAACTGAACAGCACGACCAGCTTGCAGCCCATAAGATGACATCACACAGTACTTAGAGGGAGCAACTGGAGTGGGAGACTTGCTCGAGGTGCCGAATCCCATGCTCCACTATGCATGCCATTTTCCGCAATAGCATCCACAGCCCAATGGAAGAAGAGATGTCAAATGTGTCTCCAGCAACAGCCCTATCAAATATAAACATTCCTCCTCTACTAGCACGGGAGCCTGTGACA